TAATTAACTTGATGGCAGGCTTAAATTAAACATGGCTGTTGTCAGTTTGTCACAACAACAAATCACAACGCTGGGCTCAGCATCGAGGGGAAGATCAGGATGATGGCGCTGTCAGTCGACCCAACGCTAGATGTGAACTTTCATTTCGAACATTCACAAAGTCAACTGACAAAATGCAATTTTGTTTTACTGGGGATATACACTGAAGTTCACTATCAAGCAAAACCTGCATCGTGTACTAGTCTACAATGGAAGCAGAAAACTGAAATCGACTGACTTCTGAAGTCTTTCATTCTGCAGAATATTACTGATGCGTCATGTTTACTGTCGGATGCCCATCCTGTCTGAGCCTCTGGATGTGCACTAGTTTGATGCATAGGAGCAGCGTTTGTTTTTGTCATGCACAGCACAGGTGGGTGGTATATAATGGCTGGTCTGAGCTCAACATGATCAAATGTAGAAACGAGCCACCTCTGAATTTAAAAGAGTAACGCACACCAGAGGCATGTGTAAGCACTTTCTTAGATTAAGCAAATGGTGTTCATGTGTATTTAACTTGTCATCATAATCAACCGGACTGAATCCACCCATGTGCACATAGAAAGAAACTAAAAAAAATGAACCCTGACTTTAAATCCTCGGGCGTCTTTATTCTGTGCTCTGGATCAGCTGATGAACCAGCAGAGCCCATCTACTGCCATCAGCGATGGGGTGATCGATTAGACCTGTCAACTACAGTGGCTGCAGAGCTGCACGTCACGCAACCTCACCTGGTATCATCGGGTCGCTCAGTGTTAGTCATCAAGGGAATGTTTGAATGTTATGGATCCCACTACACAAAGTTTATTTCAAGACACTAATGATCAGTGCAATGAGACCAGGAGGAGGAGTGCAGTCATGGTGGGAATGAACTAAATGATTGATAGTATTTTTATATGATTGGACTTTTATTGGAGTTTTCATTGTGCGCTCCATAAGACTCATTCTCCTCACTTCGTTATATATTCTCACAAGAGCTACAGCTTCTGACTAATATGGATTTTTAGGAGCTGGTTTGACACTGTTATTTGGAAGTAAAATATATTATATATACACATACATATAAACTGTATATGTGACGGGGAAATGCAATCGAGTGTTTTTTAACCATAAACTTCATTATAAATAACTACAAATAAAAATAAAACACAAAGGCACCCATTTTTCTATTATTTCCACTATTTTCTGCATCCTTTATTCTGTGAAGTAAAGGTTTTCATACCTGCAAACATTAACGCAGGAAGCAATATCTCTATGAAAGTCTCACATCAGGCTGATTTTTAACTGGCAACAGATAAAAATGCTTTTTTTTTTTCATTTGAAAATGTTTTGGGGAGATTTTTTGTTGTACATGAGTTATGTCTTGTTTAAAAATCTTGTTTTGTTGTGTGTGGATCCAAGGAAGAATAGTTGCTACCTTAGTGACAGATAATGGGGCTCTGATTAAAGAATAAAGAATGAATAAATAAAGAATAAATCACTGTGTGACTGAGGTGAAATTAGGGGCAGGCATATGTTGTGACATGCTGGCAGTCACCTAAAGCACAGACTTCTTCTCAGCACCTTGTCTGGGTCCACTTGAGTCCTGCAGAGAACACGTCCCTCAACCCTCAGATCCGGCTTCTGTAGGTTTTTATGTGTCTTTCACACAAAGGATATCTGATGGTGAAATTAGCTGCAATCCATTTTGCCTGTAGTGGTTCCTCAACCACTTCACACTCAGTAGTGTACTACCTACACGGGTACTAAGGACCTATACGAGCTCTCTCCTTCCATTGGAGATAATCTATTTCAGTCTTAAGCGTTGGTTGCTCACCTACAATGGCCTCCACCACTGTTAGTCCCTGAGTGCTCGACGAAATAGCTGCCTGTACTTATATTAGGGATAAAAGCACAGCAGATAATAAGAAAACATTGGAGGTTTCACTCAGAGCAGAAATGCCCATGTCAGATCTTGGGGGAGCAGAGTCGGGCTGATTTCGTTGATTTGATCTCTTGCTGTTTTTGCCTTTCGGTGGGTTTAACCCAAGCCCCAGTCCATTTACATTCATTCTTAATTACTCAAGTTCTTATTCAGTATGAGATTTGAATGCAAAAATCTTTAAGACAATGGATAAGAAAATATATTCTCAACTCAGTAGCTGCATGAGGTCATCTGTCCTGTTGGGTTTTTTTCTTTGAGGTGATAATGAACAAAAAACTTCTCACTATTAAGTGTATAAAAGGATAAAGATGTTAAAATAATCTCAAGCAAGAAGAAGTGGATAATGCTATGAGAGTGATCATTACCTGGAGTGTTGTGGCTGTAAGCAACAAGTGAACCAGTCTTCCTGCATCATATTATCATATCATTGTAGACAGATCTGAATAACAACAGGCACATGTGCACATGTGGTCAGGCACACGTGCACACACACACAC